TACTCACTATCAATACCAATAAAAAGTTCAGCCGATGCCATGTTGTATCAATAAAAAAAAAAAAAAAAAAAAAAAAATTTTGAAATATCCATATTAAGCTTTAACTAACCTGTGAAGGAATTTTTGAAATTCTTAAGTAACGAGATGTGTCTTTTGCATATTTACTTTGGCCAAAAATTACAGCTTTATCTATAATTGTTCTTAATTCGTCTTTTGGAATCCATCAGTTTTCTTTTAGCCCAAGATAAATAACTGATGTAGCGTTTATCTTACATTCTCTGGCAGTTTCCAAGAAATTGTTAATTTGATTTTGCATTTTACAAGAAAATTAAGAAAATTGGTTAAAAATTACTATAAATCAACAATAATAATAAATTCAAAATACTACGTACTTGAAAGGTTATAAAGGCTAGACGAACATGAAAATATGCGCTCTTTGTATCGAAAAATTTTACCAACAATATGATACTTATGTGTAATTATTATTAACAAGTGAAAATGTATCTAAAAATAGAAACACGTAACACAATTTATGATAATCATAATCTAAGTACTTTTTCACGAGACTTGTGTAATCCTTTGTCTATGAAATATGAGCAAGTTTACTAAGTGAACTTGAAGTTTCGTGCTGTATTTTAACTATATCAGTTGAATTTTTTTGAATACCACAACCTTTATAGGACAAGTTTCTTTACAAAGTATATGTAGAAGTAATTACGAAATACCAAACTACAAATTTTAAACGTTCAGGTGATAAAAATCAAAAAGTTGAAAGCAACGATTCAACAAGGGTAATGTGTGTCAGACCGTTGGTTTGCACAATCTTTTATTTAAAACATTATAAATAAATCTTTTAAAAGTTCAAAGCAAATCTATGTTCGTATAATTAATAAAATAAGAACTAATTACATACTTTTTTTTTGACATTTTTTAAAATAGAAATAAGAACGCATACGTATAAAACTATTACAATAGCATAAGTGTCATATTAGAGATCATATAATGTCGAATATTAAAGACTATAGAATCTATATACAGAGAGACCTCTCTAAGTGCACCCCCCTTAGGGGTATAGTGAAAAATTCTAAAAATGTGCACTTAGAGAGGGTATGCATTTATATAGAGAAAAATATATAGAGCAATTATAAGCTGGGACTAGATTATACCGTGCATTTAAAGAGATTTTACATAATAGGTGCATTTATAGAGAGTGCACTTAGAGAGGTCTCTCTGTAATATGTTCATATACATCGGGTTTTGGATTATATTTGATATAGAATTAGACGTTAATTATTGTTTTTTTTATATATCGTAATGATTCGAAGTTTGTTTATTATTTAATTAATAAACAAAATAAAGATACATTTGCTTACTTGGTGACAAAATATGTAATTAAATTCGTTTATACGTAGCATTAATTTTGTTTCGTTTTGTATTTTTTTTATTTTTTTTAAACCTTATGATTTGATTGGCCAATTATCATGTGAAAATACATGAACATTAAACGTTTCATCTGATTCATGCATGTAGAAGGTTCTAGATTTAAATATGCCCATTCTATTTCTATACGTGTAACATAAAAAATTTGCAACCGATCTCATATTAAATTTCAAATATTGTACTCTACCCTTAATTGGCAATTTTTAACTATTAATAAAGACTGGTCCGGACTGGTCTCAGGACTGGGGACCAAATAACCACGAGACCGGTTAAAGACTGATTCTTTCAAGGACCTGATCCATCCCTAGTGCAGGTTGCGATGAAATCAGAAATTCGGGGTCTTTTTTCGAACTATAAAACCTACCAAATTTTATTTATACTCTCTTCTAAACCCAAATTCAAAAAAAAAGCTGGAAAAATACACCCAAAAAATTAACATTTCATATTAAAATAGGTATAAATTTCACTATAATCCAATTTCACGACAATTCATATCATATGAATTTCTATAGGTTCTTAAAAGCGAATGAAGGATAAAGAAAGTGTGCTGCCAAAATTTATAAAGTTTATTTAAATTAAATTATCAGGTATAATTAATTTAGATAATCCTTCAGTGATTTGATTTACATCTATCAGTTTGCTAGTGTACATTTGATTCGGATGTTTTGGTTCAATTAATTTTGGTTTAAT